GTATTCTCTGGGAGGGCCGGAACCCAATCTACTTTCTCCGAATTCCTGCTTCGTGTGTCTACCTAATTCTTCCGACCGACGGGTAAACACTGCATGGCTCAGGATATTCAAGCGTGCGACAGCCAGCTTTCTGGGAGCAAGTCCAGTGCAACTTTCCGAGCCACCCTTCCGCACCCCCGAACGGGGTGCTCTGTAGCTTCTCGGGGGCCTCCCCGGAGCCCGCTTTGGGCCCCTCGGGGGCACCCTGCCGTTGCGCGCCGAAGCTCGCGTTGACACGAGGCGCTCCAGCGAGGGCCTCGCCTTCGAGGATCGAGCGAGTTGGCATCTCTTCCGCGGCGGGGCGGCATAAGGTCGGCGGTGGCCGGCGGAGTGGAAAGCTGCGCGCCCCGAAGAGACGGTACCGTTTTTTGGGTGGAGGGTGTCCAGGATCGGCCAGGGGGGGGGGGCCCAGCGCAGATCCAAGAGATCGGCGCGGACCGTCGAGAGTGTACGTTTACGGTAGGTTCGTGCCGTGTCGACGCGGCGGCGAGCCCGCCGCGAGCTGTCAAGGTTGATCGTGTCCAGTGGCCCAGAGTCGGTAAACATCACGGAACGATCTGGCGATCGGAACGCCGCCGTTCGTTCAAGGTTGAGCCAGCTCCGCGGTGTCAGAAACCAGCGCTGGAGTCGTCACGGCACGGACTTGCCATATGTTAGTTCCTCTTATTCCACATGTGTTGACGACTGCATACAGGAAGTGCGCGGCCGCTGCACGCGCGCGCGCCGCGGGCAAGCGAGGACGACCAGGCGCAACGAGGCGGGGGAGTTGGTGCGGCCGATCGAGGCGCGGGCGCGAAGCGTGGGGCCGCGGCGCGCGAGGAGTCATCGGGAGTAACGTAGCCCCTAACTCAGGAGGGAAAGAAACACACAGACACAAATTAATCGGCGATTCCCAGAAAATATGGGAAAATATGGAAAGTGGGGGGGAAGACAGAAACCTAGAAAATATGGGAAAATATGGGAAATCTTTTTATTTGTGTGTATTTATTTGTGTGTCCCAGGGCCCCTTCACTAACCCCCATATCAAAATGACGGAATACGGGATGTTCGCGTCTGCGGCGACCCTGCCGCGGGCGTTCCAGGTTGAACGCCGCAGGCGACCCACAATCTGTCGATGTGGAACGATCTGACGTCTCGAAAAGGGCCGATCGTTCAAATTTGAGCAACCCCTGCGGTGTTAGCCAACGCCGAAGTCATCACGACACGAACCGGCCGAGACCTAGCTCAGGTCACCGTCCTTGCATTGGGCGGCTTGGTTTGGCTTGATACCGCTGCAGACAAGACCCCCTATCCCTGATGTCTGGTCCTCATACCCCAGGTCCCCTCCCATGCCCGTCGGTCGTTGAAAGTGTCAAGAGTGGAGTGGTTTTCCCTTCGCGCTCCTCCTCAGGGGGTATGCGGAAGCCCGATTTACTTTCAACGCCCTCCGATTTCATCATTCTACCCACTTCTTCTGACCAACGTCAAAGGGCTGGGTTTCGTTTGTTGCTGCTCAAGGAGGGGTCCCCTCGACCGGGGATCTGTGCGTGAGGGGAAGGTACCTTAGTGTTCTTCGTGTTTGTTGGGTCTTCTTGTTCTTCCTGGGGGAGGGCACCCTCGAACGTTCTTCAGTTTTGGCCGGCAGAGGGTCTCATGTTCTTGAAGGATGGTTTTCTGTCCTAGGTCGGACCGTAAAGGGTTTCGGGTCCGTGTGCTGCTGCTGCTGCTGCTGCTGCTCAGAAAGAGGGCCCCCCCAACATCGGGTGCGTGCTTGCTTCGTCAGGGCGCGGCCCCTTGCCGTACTCAGCTGAGCGGGGCCACTTAGCAGCTTAGATGTCGGGTTGCAATCAGTTGTAAACGATGTGCCTTGAAGTCAGCGCCATCGATATGATACCCGAGTAACAATGGTTGTTGCACCATATTTGTCGGGGGTGGACAGAACCCCCAATAGTGACACGTCGATTAGTGAATTGTCCGTTTTCGGTTCTCGAGAGGGCGCCGTGGTCGCTATTTTCCAGGCCTGCGCCCGCCAGGTTTGGGCCTCAGGTCGTTTTCACTAAACCACGTTTTACTAAAGAGAGGTCTGTCCATCCCCGAATTTGTGCTATACATAATTCAATCATAAGTCATTACATATGTCAAGGGTCAGTCAAAGCTCAGTATGCAGGCTCCTGGTGACCTCGCAGGCGGAGCTCGCGGAAGGGCACGATCCGCGTGAGGGGCGCGTCTCCGCCCGCCGCAACCACGGGGGGGGGGAGGGGCGATGGGAAGATCATCGCGACGGGGTGCGGCGCAGTGGGCAGGGCGCGCGCAACCGCGCCCGCCGAGGCCCCCCCTTTGGGGCCCGCGGTCCTCGCGGGGCCCCATCGCCTCCACCCTCGTGCCTTCTCCGTTGCGTCGTCCCTCCTTCCACCCCTGCTTCGTGCATCAAGCGGCTGGCTCGCCACCTCGCGTTCTCGCGCATTCCGATACAGTGTACGTTTTCCCCATCTACGTACATTCGACGCCCATGGCTTCTGCGGCGGCCGATTTATATATGACACACACACACATGTCTGTAGCAAAACTATTACTTGTTTAACAAAAAAGAATGGACAAGTACGTCGATGCTCGATTTTGACGCGGGTGGTTCAAAACACGTAAGTTGATGGTCGCCCAATCCGCATCTCGGTTGTCATTGGCAGAGCTGCAGGAGATAACCCAATAATTCGGGGCCGCTGTGCCCGAATCAGACATGCGCAGGGTGTTGAGCCAAGAGCTGAATGTAGACACCCCCTTCGGCGAATTGGTGCAAACAAGTAAAGATCGAGCATGCAAGCGGCGAGCAACATCATGTTGTATGTTACAATGCATTGGCCTTGTTGTATGCATTATGATGAAAGGAGCGTGTTGCTGAATTGTTTGGAACGTGTCGCAACGACGCAGTACCCGTCGTTTTTTATATAAAATTGCACGGACCAGTTGCAGTTTGCCAACCCGTTGCGTCCCGATCGCAGCAGGGAGCTGTAAGCTGTGTATATACGCGCCGCCGCGAAACCCGATGGCCACCCGAAAGAAAAGCACGCTGCATGTTGTCAGCGGGAAGTCCCCAACCCGACTCCACACGGCGATCCCACGACGCCCGCGCCAGCTTGAACAACGCGCGTTTTCACGCAGGAGCGCCTCGCTCCCTGGGCGGCGGATTGGATTGTCAGGGAGCTCCCGCGGTTGTTGAGGTCGCGCGATGAGGGGTGGTGGGCGTTCTGTTTCTTCCTTTTTTAACTCCGAGAACACGTCGAGGCTGGCGTCAGCGGTCTCGTGAAGCAACGTCTCCGACAAATGTTTTCCGATCCGAACCATTGCAGTCTTACCCGTGGGATCAAGCTGCCCAACAAGCAGGGTGGGCGCGCAGAGCACACTGGGATATTGCCCTCTGTGGTACAAGATGAAGAAGCGCACGCAAATCTTTAGTCGGTGAAGGGCGCTTCCGGGTTCCAGGCTTGCAGATATTGTAGGAGCGTGGTTCGGGCGCCGAGATGCAAATCGGCAGGGCCCGTTTACGCCAAGCATCTCCAGGGCGCCCTTCCACGCGATGTCGATTTGCACATGCCAGAGACTTTCTCGCACATGGTTGATGACCATGCAAGCAGTTGCCCAGTGTTGGCCCCGGGCGATTCAAAGTCAAGCAATAAGCCAGCGGCGAGGTCTATCATCTCCAGCCAATCTGCAAGACCCCCTTTTTCAGGCGGCACCTGGACCTAGTCCGGCACACCTTAGGATTGGATCCGTTGTTTAGTGGCCTCGGGGAAGGCATGCCAATGGCAGGTCAATGCTTACTGCGTGAAACTTCAATCCGCGCCCCACTGTGTAGACTTGGAGTCCCTGGACATCTGCAACAGTCGATCGAGTGTCCCAATGGAAAACTGCCCGCAACTTTTTTTCCCCAGGACCGGTTTAGCGTGATGAAGGGTGTCTCAAGGCATGGGTCGGCGAAGCGATCTTCGCCCTGCAAGCGTTGGTGTTGTTCGCCGAACTCTTGGTAGTTCCGTCTAGAGGTATGATGGATGGGGCCCGTTGGAGGTTGATATCCAAATGCTGGACATGCTGTCCACCCCCAGCCCGGCAGCTCAACACATCGGGAAAATGGATGCTGCCCCGACTGATTTTCACGAGCTCATCTAGCAACTATACGGGGTAGACCTGGTCAAACCCAAGTTGCGCCGCGCTCGCCACGCCCCTCGTAACGTCGAAGCCGCGGGCGATGCTCTAAGTTGTTTGTCCGCCGAACGCAAGCGCAAGTCTGCGCAGACCATCGGGCAGCTCTCGAAGGGCGAATATTGTGAATGCCCGGCGTCGGAAAAGGCAGCTCTTGGACCTCCTCACGCGGTCCGATGGCGAATTGAAGTCTGAATGGCTGGCGGGCCGCGCGGTTCAAGATGTCATTTGCGGTCGTTTAGCGCAGCGGGCGCGCGGCGACAGCCGCATCGCATCAGTCCAGTCATCCACCAAGACGGCGGCTGCAATGGGGGGTGCTGCGCAATGGTATCAACCCATCGCGGGCACCGCGCGGGGCAAATCATTTCGCGCTCGTCTGTTCGGGAGTGGGCTCGCCGCGCCGCCGCCACGTCCACATCTTCTTCCGCCCCGCCCGTGCTCGCGCGTTCGGGGGCTGGCTCGCCGCTCCGACGCCTCCGCCTGCTACTCCTGCCCCCCTCGCCACATCCATGCTCGCGCGTCTGGGAGTTGGCTCGCCTCTCCACCCCCCCCCTCATCCACTGCCCCTTCCGTTCGCCGCCCAGCCCTATTCCAGGGGGCGGGGGGGTGGGGGGCGAAGGGGGAGGGCAAAGGCAATCAGGGTGGATGGGGGGGCGGAGGGGAGGTGCGAATGGGGGGGCAGACGCATGGCGGCGCCTCCTCCGATAGCCATTTGGGCCCAAGCAGACGGCGACTCCCCCAGTGCACCTGCCGCCCTGCGACAATAAGGAGGCTACTTTCCACGACCAATGTCAGATGTGCGGCGGGGCTCTGGCCGGCGAGGACAGCGAGCTCAGACAGCGAGAAATTGGTTGCACGGCTACGCCTTTTCAACTTGGAACGGCCTCCGAGGCAGGTGCGCGAGCCCGACCGGCAGCTCATTGAAGGGAACGGCTTGGGCGGGGGCAGGCGCGCTCGCCCACCTGCGCCGCAGCCCCCGGCCCGCCCGGGCACGCGGCCCGAGGTCCAGCAGTTTCTTCGGCGGACAGTCGCACGGCAGGAGCAGTCGCACATGGGCCAGCAGCAGCAGCATCAGCTGCACATGGACCAGCAGCAGTCTCAGCAAGCTGAATGGCAGGCGCGACAGCAAGCGCTGCATCAGGCAGAGTGGCAGGTGCCAGGGCCGCAGCAGCAGCGGTGGCATTAGCGGCATCAGCAGGTACACCAGCAGAATACACGCATTCTGAATGCGTGGCATCAGATGCGGCAGCGTTGGGCTCTACGAAAGCATCAACAGTAGCATGAGACCAAGCCTCAGCACGAGTGGCAGCAACGCAGATTCACCAGCATTGGTCTGAGTGGCAGGAGTGCATGCTGTCGCAGGGGACATCGGCTCACGCGGATAACTCCAGCCAGCTCAACGCGCGTCCATGGGCTTCGACGTTCTCTGACGGCACGCAGGACACTGCCCGGTGCAAGAAAAATCGGATCGATGCCCCGGGCCAGTCGAAACCTCCGCTGCCGCAACCGATTTGGCTGGTGCGAGCTGCCCAACTAGCTGAAGCTCTCGCTGGAGCTCCTGCTGCTGGAGTACCTGGAGTTCCTGCTCGAGTCCCGACTGATGGAGCTCCCGCTGAAGATCCTGCTGGAGTTCCTGCTGATGAGGTTCCCGAACTCCTGGCCAGGACTCAGCCCAGCAGAGGTCCGGTCTCCAAACTTATTTTTTGTGTGTGTGTGCGTGTGTTTGTGTTTGTCTGTGTGTGTGTCTGTGTGTGTGTTTTCGGGGCCCTGGACTTGTCGGGCCCCGGGGAGTCTTCCAGCAGCAGCGCCCCTCTGGTAAACGCCGTCTCAGGGGTTCCTGTCCCTCCCCCTTCTGTGGCTCCGAGGGATTGGGGTGGCGTTCGCGGGCGGCCACTGGGTTACCCTCGAGCCGTCCCGCTGTCGGCCAGGGAAGACCAGTCCTTCCGGCGGTGGCCGCTGGTAGGCACACCTGAGCAGTAGAGAGCCCGCCTTAGTGAAGGGGTCGCGTCCACGCGGCGGCGCCCGAGAGCAACAACTGGCCCCCGGGCCGGGAACATTTTCTTTCAAACGTTCCCCCCCCGCCCTCTTAAGGCGCGCGGTCGGACGGCCGACGGGCCGGGCTAGAGGAGAAAGGAGGGGAGCCAACAGCAGCGGCACGCAATTACAACGACGAGCGGACATGATTTTGTATTTTAGCAACAGTTGGTTATATAATATGAGCAGTTAGCAGTTGCAGTTCAAGACGTAATGGATGCTGCAGGAGAAGTAAGCATCGGATCTTAGTGGCAGCCGTAACATCACGAATTGTGGCACGGTTGTACCAGGCGCTTTCGTGGAAGATGTAATCGGAGTGTTTTGTCTTTGCTTCTTCTGGTGGTTAAACCCAGCTTCGGCTGGCAGCCGTGCAACATCGCCGAGGTTTTCCGCTGTTCCGTTCCATACGCACTTCGAGAGTGCTTCCGTTCTAAATTTTTTCGAGGGCCCGCGCAGTCCTGCCCCGCCACGGGCTTGTGAGAAACGAGAGACACGGCGCGCCTCTATCGCCGTATTATTATTATTATTATTAGTATTATTATTATTATTATTATTATTTTTATTTGATTATATTATTATTATTATTAGTATTATTATTATCATCATTATTATTATGGTTATTGGTAGTCTTATTCTTATTCTTGTTCTTATTATTATTATTATTATTATTATTCGTATTCTTATTATTATTCTTATTCTTATTTTTATTCTTATTCTTATTATTATTCTTATTCTTCTTATTATTATTACTCCCCCTCCTCCTCCTCCTCTTCCTCCTCCTCCTCCTCCTCCTCCTCATCCTCCTCCTCCCTGTGCGTTGAGCGAACCTCAATCTACATATATCGCAGCGTCAAGCCTCCTCCCTACCCTGCTCGTCTTCCTCCCCCTCCTCCTTCCCTCATTCCTTCTCTCCCTCCCCCTCCCCCTCCCTCCGCCGCGCGCCAGGGCGTCCCCATCCCAGAGTCGCAGGGCACCGCCGGGGCCTCAGGAGGGGGAGGGGAGGAGGAGGAGGAGGAGGAGGAGGAGGAGGAGGAGGAGGAGGAGGACGAGGAGGACGAGGAGGAGGAGGAGGAGGAGGAGGAGGAGGAGGAGGAGGAGGAGGAGGGGAGGGGGAGGGGAGGAGGAGGGAGGAGGAGGAGGGAGGAGGAGGAGGAGGAGGAGGAGGAGGAGGAGGAGGGGGAGGGGGAGGGGGAGGGGGAGGGGGAGGGGGACAAGCTAGGTGCGCTCGCTTCGTATCTGACGTCCTACCCCTCCCTCCCATCCCTTATCATGGCGTACATGTCCTCTCTATTCGCGCAGTCGGATGTCGAGCAGAGTAATGGTCGCGAGAGGGTACGCGATGCATGGTGGAGCACGGCATAGCATGGCGTAGAAGAGCACGGCAGAGCGTAGCATGCCATAGCACGGCGTGGCGTTGCGCAGTGAAGCATTGCACCACAAAGCATTGCAACGCAAAGCATGGCATTGCACAGCGGCGCATAACACAACACCATACAGCATGTCATGGCATGGTGCCAGGTTCCTGAGAGGGTAAGTCGATCGTCTTCGAGAGGTCTGGGCCAGTCTGGAGTCGTGGCTCCACGTCTAGCTCCTAGGGCTCCCCGAACAGCTCCACACAAGGTGGGGCTGATGGAGAGCACCCGCTGGCTCTGCTTTCAGCATCGCCTTCTCGAAGCAGAATGGGGCTTTTGCGGCCCAAGGAATCAACGAATCGGCACCGATTGTGTAATCACTTGGTTTTTTCGGGGGGGCATTTTTTAGATTTTGGTGTTTATTTGGCAGGAAGGCCAGCGCTGCAGCGGCAGCACGATTTGGAACGAGCGGAAGCGCGGAAATGAGGCCAGCGCTGCAGCGGGAGCAAGATTCGGAACGAGCGGAAGCCCGAAAATGAGGCCAGCGCTTCAGCGGGAGCAACCTTTTGGAACCCAAACTCAAGCGAACACCCACTTCCAGGGAATCCTGAGTGTAAAAAACACTACGTGGAGGGGGGCTGGGTATCTTCTGGACGTCATCATTGAAGAGAGGACAGTGGTATGCGTATTGTGTAAATGTGGAGGGTGGGGAGGATGAGAAGAAGGATGTGGAGGAGGAGGATCCGTCCTTCAGAGGAGGACACGGTAACGATATTGGTGCCCTTTGCTCTTGTTCGCCTTGTTGGGCCGTCTTGGAGGCTCTCATCGCCACGGCTTCGTTGTCATCGATGCTCTTGTCAGGGCGCACGCCAGGAGAGGTCCGAGGCGGCTTTTGGTTTCCCAGCCTCGTCTGACTGCGCTGGCGAGGCCTTCAGTAGGGCATCTGCAAGCCAGAGGGGGCGTGATTGGTTTGCGCTCGGCGCTCCTCGGGCTGAGGCGCCGTTGGCCTGGATCTGCCCTGCGGCCAGGAGCTGGATCCTGGCCAGCGTTTTTTTGTAGTTGTTAGGGGGGGTGTCATGTCGCGGGCTCTCCAGCTGGATCTCGCCCCCCGGCCAGTTGTGTAACATGTCGGCGGCCAAGTCAGAACAATCGCTCGTCGATCAACGGTTCGGGCAACTCGATGGGCGGCGGGGGCAGGGCTTGGAACTCATCGAACACGTGGCGACATCCGCAAACCCACCCCTGCCTCAGGGCGGCCCCCGCGGGTAGAGGCGGCCCTAGGCAGCCCTTCTCGGGAGGGCGTGTCTCGGGTGGCGTTGGTGGCCCCTGGAGGCCACTCGGTCCTTTTTTCTTTCGCCTTTAAGGCCCCGTCTTTAACTTTAACTTTAACTTTAACGCGCAGGATGACGAGGATCACGGCAGAACACACAGAGTACATAGGAGCACGGCAGAACACACAGGAGCATGGCAGAACATGCAGGAGTGCGGCAGATCACACAAAACACATAGGAGCACAGCAGAACAAGCAGCAGCACGGCAGAACACACACAGGAGTACGGCATAACACACAGGAGCACGGCAGAACACATAGGAGCACGGCAGAGCAGGACCATGGCAGAATCCACAGGAGCACGGCAAAACGTACAGGAGCTTGGCAGACCACTCAGGAGCACGGCAGAACATCTATTCACACAGCCGCACCCACAGGCACACGCACATAGGCACACGCACACAAGCAGACGCACACGCACACGCGCGCGCACACACATACACACACATACACACACCACACCAACAACAACAACAACAACAAGAACAACAACAACAACAATACCAACAACAACAACAACATACACACAAATACGCACACAAAGAGAGGCAACACACATTCACGCAGGCCGCAGGAGCACGGCAGAGCAGCACGGCATAACACAGCAGTGCCGCAGACCACCACGCACGGACACACATGCACATATTCCACGCACGCACGCGCACGCGCAAGCGCACGCACGCCACGACATATCTGCGCGGCAGACCAACGAAAGAGCAGCCTTCACATACCTAATGGACAATAGGGACGCTTCTCGTTCTTGCCGGTCAGGTTCCTCAGAATGGCGATTTCGCTTAAGACATCCTCACAACATCGAGATGTTGGAGGCTATCGTCTACGACGTCTTATGCGAAACATGGGCGTTTCGCTTGAGACATCCTCGGAAAACGGGGATGTTGAAATCGACGACCTAATTTTCGAATCTTCGGGAATGGCCGTTTCGCCTGAGACATCCTCGAAACAGTGGGACGTGTAAAAGGCTGTTTCCCAACATCTTTTCGGAACAATCTCGGATGACTTCCAAGATGGCCGAAGACGGCGAAAGTATTGAAAATCCCATGTGGTTGTAACAGTTGTCTTAACATCAGAGCGTTTCGCTCGAGACATCCTCCACACATGGCCTTCGGACGGGTCCTCGAAGGCAGAATTATTGAAACAACCCATGGGTTTTCAACAGTTTTGTTAAATCATCTTCTTCTTTTCGGGATGAGCGGCACGTCTGAACTTGCGCGGGTAGTGAACGCAATCTGCTACCCTTTGTGGACGTTCAGGAAGAGCGCCTACCCGACGTGCGACCTTGATGTTGGTGCACGTTCTTGCCAAGCTCTTCGATTTCACGCTCTTCTCCTCCTCTTCCTCCTCCTTCTCCTCTCCCTCCTCCTCCTGCTCATCATCTTCGACTTCCTCCTGCTTCTCCTCGTCATTCTCACCTCACCTCCTGCCCTTCCTCCTCCTCGCAACGTCTGATCTCGCGCGGGTAGTGAACTCAATGTGCTACCCTTTTTTGAAC